CCCGGCGGGCCGGCTGGAGGCTTTGCAGTGAGTCAGATCAACTACTACACTCCAGCCTGCGCAAAAAAGAGCGAGACTCTGTCTCCCACCCCTCCCCTGAAAAAATTAGGAAGGCGTGGTGGTGTGTGCGTGTAGCCCTGGCTACTAGGGGGGCTGAGGCAGGAGGATCCCTTGAGTCCAAGAGGTTGAGGCTGCAGTGAGCCGAGATTGTGCCACTGCACTCCAGCCTGGGCGACAGAGTGAGGACCCTGTTTCAAAAAAAAAAAAAAAAAAAAGGGCTGAGAGAAATTTCCAACGGCTCCTATCTCACCACAAATCAAAGCCAATGTGTTTACTATTAGCTCATAGCCTCCCATATCTGGTCCTCTCCCTCACTTCACCTTGTGCTAAACTCCAGCCACATGGACCTGCTTCCAGTTCCTCACTCACAGGAGGCTCTTTCGGGTTCCTTGAGGGCTTTGCACTTGCGTTTCTACCTGGATGCCCCTCCCACTCTTCAGCGGTTTTCTCCCTTCCGATCCCTGAGTCTTGGCTCAAGCATCTTCCTTCCCTGATCTCAGTCACTGTCTCGTCCAGCTGTTTATTTCCTTCTTGGTGCTTATCACATCTCTGATTAATTTGCATCTTTGCTTATTGCCTGGTTCCTTGAGTGATGGGACCTTGTCTGTTTTCTCACCACACTGTCCTAGTGCTTTGACCAGAGCATGGCATATAGTTGGTGCTCAATAAATTTATTTGTGGTGGCTCATGCCTGAAATCCTAGAATTTTGGGAGGCTGAGGTGGGCAGATCTCTTGAGCTCAGGAGTTGGAGACCAGCCTGGGCAACCCCATCTGAAACAAAACAAAACAAAATAGTAAATGTTCTAAACCAGTATATAAATTCTCTGTAACTGTAGATTCTCCCAGAACTCTGGGATGCTAAGGCTGGAGGATCACTTGAACCCAGACATTTGAGGCTGCAGTGAGCTATGCTCATGCTGCTATGCTTAAGCAGAGTGTGACCTTGTCTCTTCAAAAATACGAATAAAATAGGGCCAGGCATGGTAGCTCACACCTGCAATCCCAGCACTCTGGTAGGCTGAGGTGGGTGGATCACTTGGGTCCAGGATTCCGAGATCAGCCTGGGCAATGTGGCAAATGTCTCTACAAAAAATACAAATAAAGTTAGCCAGGTGGTGGCGCTTGCCTGCGATCCCGGCTACTCAGGAGGCTGATGTGGGAGAACCACTTAAGCCTGGGAGGTGGAGGTTGCAGTGAGGTGAGACTGAGCCACTGCACTGCAGCTTGGGTGACAGAGCGAGACCCTGTCCCAAAATAAAAATGTAAAGATTAAGAGTGTTGTTGAATGTCTAGAGAGGAATAGAGATGGTCATGACACACTATGTTGTTTGTTTACTTATTTAATTTTAGAGACAGGTTCTTGCTCTGTCACCCAAGCTGGAGTGCAGTGGGCCCCTGCAGCCTCAGATGCCTGGGCTCAAGCAATCCTGCCACCTCGGCCTCCCAAAGTGCTGGGATTACAGGCATGAGCCACCACGCCCGGCCCACACTTTCTGATTAAGAAAGTAGACTTTAAACTGCGTGGAGAGTGTGGGTTTATCTTTGTCTGTCCTTGGAGGAGGGTTCCCATTGCTTTTGTAGACACTGGTTCAGATCAACAACCGGTTCTAACATGCATCTGGGCAGTGGGTCATCTGCTGGGTGGAACCTCCTTCCTCTCAGGGCCAGCCTCAACCGGGGACCCATTCCTTTCTTAGTCTATGTGAGGAGGCACCCTCTGTGTCCAGGCACTGGCCGTGAAGCAGCAAAGAAAGGCAACAAAATGTTGCCTGCAGCTCTTAGCTTCCGGTGGTTGAGGGGTGGGGGTAAGAAATAATAAACAAAAATGTGCAAAACAGAAGACAACAGACAGTGACGAGTAATTAGGGAGATGATGAGTGAGTGAGGGGAAGGTCCCTGCTACCCGGAGATCACTGAGTACCACTGAGCAGAGGCAAGGAGGAGGTGTTCGCGTTACTGGGGAGGAGTGCTCCACAGAGGCTCAGCCAGGCAGGGGCCCCGCTGGGGGTGGGCCTGGCCTGTTGGGAGAGGAGCCAGGAGGTGAAGGTGGGGGTGGGGGTGGGCCTGGCCTGTTGGGGGAGGAGCCAGGAGGTGGGGGTCGGGGTGGGGGTGGGCGTGGGCCTGGCCTGTTGGGAGGAGTCAGGAGGTGAAGGTGGGGGCTAACTTCTTCCCAAGGTCCCTCTGACTGCCAGGCTGAGGATGAACTGTGGGGCCCAGGTGGGAGCTGAGATGGAGAAGGGCTTTTCTAGAAGGAGGAGCTGGGGGAGAGGCCAGGTGGACGTGGAATCTCTAGGACTGAGGACCTTGAAGCAGCAGACAGAGCGGCAGCTCAAGGCAGTCTCCCTCCAGATCTGAGTGCATGGAGGAGCACAGGGTCCGAAGCTACCCTGAGCTGGGGTGGAATCTCGCTCCGCCCCTTCTGAGCAATGTGGCCTTGGTGGGGCCGATGGAGTTGCCTGTCCTGTAGGTGACTGCTCGCCCCCAGGCTTCCACAGGGTTAAATGAGATGGTGTTGGGAACAGGGCCCCCAAAATCTGGCCATAAACTGGCCATAAATAAAATCTCTGCAGCACTGTGACATGTTCATGATGGCTGTAACACCCACGCTGGAAGGTTGTGGGTTTACCAGAATGAGGGCAAGGAACACCTGGCACACCCAGGGCAGAAAACTGCTTAAAGATGTTTTTAAACCACAAACAATAACATGAGCGATCTGTGCCTTAAGGACATGCTCCTGCTGCAGATAACTAGCCAAACCCATCCCTTTATTTCGGCCCATCCCTTTATTTCCCATAAGGAATACTTTTAGTTCATCTATGGAAACAATGCTTACCACTGGCTTGCTGTTAATAAAATACCTGGGTAAATCTCTGTTCAGGGTTTTCAGCTCTGAAGGCCGTGAGACCCGATTTCCCAGTCCCCGCTCTATATTTCTGTGTGTGTGTCTTTAATTCCTCTAGCGCCGCTGGGTGAGGGTCTCCCCGACCCAGCTGGTCTCGGCAAGATGGTGTGTGGCTCCCACTGGGGAGGCCCCCAGTTACTGGCACTGTCATCATGATGCCCACCGAACAAAGTGGGCCAAGCCCAGAGGCAGCCAAAACCACATCTTTCTGCATAGAGGGGAAACTGAGTCCGCGAGCTCAGGGCAAGGGCACCAGGCCCATATGCTGGCCTTCATCTGTCCTCAGCTCCTCCCTGCGGGCACAAGCGGGGGCAGGTGAAGAATCTTCCACCTGAGAAGTGTAAGAGTAGGGACATGGGGGCGGGGAGCAGCGGGCCTGCTCTGTGTAGAAACAACCGGACAGCAGGAAGGATGCCAGGGCCCACGGACACCAGCTGCCTCCGCAGTCCCGCCGCCCGGGCCTCCACGGAGCAGCCTCCGAAGCGCAGCGTGGCCGTGTCCTCCGTAAAGAGGGTGGAGCCGCCCCGGGCCCCTCGCTCTCCAGCCGTGAAGCCCCCGCCGGGGCCTGCAGGTGGCAACCCGCAAGCCGCCCGCACACGCGGGTTCTCTGTTCCTTTTTTCTCCTCAACCACTGCGGTTAAAAAAAAAAAGCTAAAAGCCACCTGTTTTGTTTTTAAACGTGTTGTGGCTTGGATTTCGGCCAGGCCTTTTGTGGTGACAGGAAACCCAGGACAGGCGCCCCGGCCGGGCCGGGGGACTCCGGGGCAGACTCGGGCCCCGCGTGCCATGAACCTCCGCGCCGGAGGCGGCAGCAGCGGGCGCCGGGGATCAGCGCAGCGGGGCGGCCGGGCGGATCCAGCGCAGCCGGGAGGCCGGGCAGATGCGGGGCGGCGCGGCGGCGGTCAGGTGAGCGGCGCGGGGCTGGCGGGGACGGGCTGGGAGGGCGGCCCGCCCGGCGCGGGGCCTCGAGAGCTCGGCCGCCCCGCCCCGGGGACCCCGCCGCTGCTCCGGCGTCCGCACCAGCTGCGTGCGGGGCACCCGGGCGGCCCAGGGGACCCGCGTGCCTGTGCCCCCTTCCTGGGCTGCTCCGAGCCTCAGTTTCCCCATCTGTGGAATGGGGGGTGGGACAGACCTGCCCCGCGAGGAGCCCGGGACACCAGGGTACCCCGAGCGAGCTCCTGCGGGCGTGGTAGGTGGGGGAGGCACAGTCCTGGGGCGGCTTCTCCCTGCAGCAGGTGGCGAACCCACGGCCAGGCTTCCGTGGCGAGCAGCCCTAGAGGAATGACCGTCCTGTCCCTGAGAGCCCCTGGGCCCTGGCAGGCGATCCAGGTATGGGCAGACAGGGCGCTGTTGACTCCGCACACCGCGGTGACTTCTCAGGTTCTGGGGGTGGCAGCTGCAGTGGTGACACCACTTCCTGGTGGTCACACCGCGGGCAGGGCGCGGGAGGCCAGCTCCATGCGTCCCGAGTGTCCTGAGCTTCAGCCCAGGGTCCCCCTGTGCCCCGGAGCCCCGCCGGCTGTTCTTCTGTTTCCTTTCATTGCTAAGTTGTGGAGTCCTCCCGGATGAGAGCAATGGGCTCTAGAGGAGGGGCCGGGGTGGCCAGACCTCTGCTTTCATTCTCCCACTTCCTGCCTGCTCCTTTCTGAGGCCAAGTCCTACATCTGAGTGCAGAACTGGTGGGTGAGCCTGGTGGGAAGAGCATTCTGCTCAGGGTCGGCCACTGTGGCCAGCATCCCCAGGTCAGAGTGTGGGGAGATGCTAAGGCTGTGAGGCCAAAGGCCTCCCCTCATTCATCCCCTGCCCATGCGCCAGGCCTGGGGCTGGCACTGACTCTCAGTAAATAGGCAAATAAAAGATGCCTTTTTTTCACAGCCCAGAGGAGAGCTCATAGCCTAGAGTACAGCTGCTGGGCAGAGCAGAGGTGTCCGTGCCAGCGTGCCTGCTTTGACGCTCCTCTGGCCGTGTTTTAAACACCAGGAGGTTTCCAGGGGCTGCCCCAGGCGTAGCTCCTGCACCCTTTTTCCTGGGCTGGTCACCATATGTGATGACAGTGCCAGTCTGTTCTGAGCAGCTCTGGGCTCCTGGCTTCACTGACATCATACGCAAGTCCTTAGCCCTTCCATCCACCCCAGAAAGTAGGTGTTCCCTCTGATTTATAGGCGAGAAAATGGAGAATCAGAGTCTAAATCAGGGCTGATTTATTTTTATTTTTATTTTTTTTTGAGATGGAATTTTGCTGTGTTTCCCAGGCTGGAGTGCAATGGCACAATCTCAGCTCATAGCAACCTCCACCTCCCGTGTTCAAGCAATTCTCCTGCCTCAGCTTTCCTGATTA